CGAGGGCAGCTGCTTCGCACTGCTGAGCCCCACCCCGTGCTGGCCGCCGAGGTGCTCAGGAAAGCTTAGCGAATGGATGAATCAAAGATTTTTTAAATTATTATTTTTTTATTTTTTAGTGGAAGCAAAGTTTACTGAGAGAAGCCAGTCCTGGGAAGGGTGCAGCTGGGGTTCCGGGAGAGCCCAAAGCAGGCCAGTGGCCAGAGTTGCAGCCGGTGTAGTTCAGCCCCCGAGCTCATTCCAGCCCATCCGTCCATGTGTGGGGTCCCACATGGCCATTAGCCACCGGGGCCAGGAACCCAGGCGCCAGGGACAGAAGGAAAAACGAATCAAAGATTTTGCTGTCTCTTGTGGGTATAAGGTGGGGGGTGGGAGGGGTGTGGTTTGAAGACCCAGTCCTAGATGGTGAGGCTGAGGAGCAGTAGGGACGAAGCTTAGAATCAGGTCCCGGGGACTGTCTGGGCCGTGCGGTCTCTATTTGGCTGGACTGGAGGGTTTCGGTTCTTCTCTGCTCTGCCCTCACTCCTGGAGGCCCGGCCTGGGAGCCGTCTGCCTGTGTGGCTTCCACATCCTGGCACGAAGCCAGGCCTGTGTGTGGTGGGAGAGGTTTTTGAACCGGGGGCACGACCCAAATTTGGGGACTTCTTCTGTCACCAAGAACTGGCACCAAACTTCATTCCAAAGCTGGCCCCTCCCTGCCTACGGCCCTCACTGTCCCCACTGAGGTCCTAGATAAGCCAGACCCCCTACCCTTTGGAACCGCCCTTCCTTCCTGGGCTTTAAAATTCAGTTCCAAACTCACTTCTTTGAGGACGAGCAATGGAGTGAATGCCAGACCTGTTCACCTCAGGACCCCGGTACTACCCTCCTCACCCCATGACTCTGGGTGATGTCCACGCTCTTTGGGTGAACTTGAGCTCCTGTGAGCCAGTGGAGGGTAGCCAAGGACTGGGAGGCAGAGCTGGGCTTGACTCTTGTGCCAACACCTCCAGCTGTGTGACCTTGAGCAGGTGCATGCATGTCTCTGGGCTTCCTGGTCAGTAACATGGGAGCTCATTGCTCAGTGGAGGAGGATGTGATGAGACTGGATTGACGAGGCCACAAACACTGTGCATGGTGCTCCCTCCCATCCTTCAGGACGGCTCAGATGTCACCGCCTCTGAGAGTCCTCCCTGACTCCATCCCAGGCCCCGGCTGCCTGCCTTACCTGGCCTCATTTCCCTTCAAGCCTTATCTCTCCCTGTTTGCCTGTTTATCATCTGTCTACCGTCTACTTAGAAGGCCAGGTCTATGAGGGTAGAGGTTTTCTATACTACTAGTGGCCCGGTGCACAAAATTCGTGCACGGCAGGGGGGTGTCCCTCAGCCCGGCCTTCACCTCTCCAATCTGGGACCCCTCGGGGAACTGCTGGTTTAGGCCCGATCCCGGGCCTCTTGAAATCCAGGACTGCTGGCTCCTAATCGCTCACCTGCCTGCCTGCCTTCGCCCCTAACCACTCTGCCTGCTGGCCTGCTCGCCCCCAACTGCCCCCTCACCAGCCTGCTCGCCCCCAACTGCCACCCCCTGCCAGCCAGCTTGCCCTCAACTGTCCCCCCTTGCCGGCCTGGTCACCCCCAATTGCCATCCCCTGCCGGCCAGCTCGCCCCCACCTGCCACCCCTGCCTGCCTGCTCGCTCCCAACTGCCTCCCCCCTGGCCGGCCTGCTTGCCCCTACTTGCCACTCCTGCCTGCGTGCTCACATCCAACTGGGTGACGAGGTGAAGGTAGTTGTCTGTAAATGGGTAGAGGGAGACAGTATTACGATACAAGTTAGTGTAAGAGAGCACTAGCGATGGGAGTCCAACGACTGT